CTCAATTGGCATAATACAGTTTATAAAGACAATGTTCTACATTCTACCTTGGTAAGTAGCTTCTGGGGTCTTAAAAGCCTGTGAGCAGTCATCTAAGATACTCCACTTGTCTCACCTCTTCTGGATCAAAGGAGAATGAAGAGAACAAGACACAAGGAAAAGATTAGTCCAAAGGACTAATGGACCACAGCTACCACGGTCTCCACTAGATTGAGTCCAGTACAGCTCGATGGTGCCCAGCTACCACCACTGACTGCTCTGAACGGGATCACAATAGAGGGTCCTGGACAGAGGTGGAAAAGGATGTAGAACAAAATTCTAACTCACAAAAAAAGACCAGATTTACTGACCTGACAGACTGGAGAAACCCCGAGAGTATGGCCCCCAGACACCCTTTTAGCTCAGTGGTGAAGTCACTCCCGAAGTTTACCGTTCAGCCAGGGGTTGGACAGCCGTATAAAACAAAACGGGACTAATGAGGCACAGCAGTCCAAGGACAAGGACTAGAAGGCAGGAGGGGACAGGAAAGCTGGTGATAAGGAACCCAAGGTTGAGAAAGGACAGTGTTGACAAGCTGTGGGGTTGTTAACCTTTGTCATAGGACAATATGTGTACTGTTTAATGAGAAACTATTTGTTCTGCAAACTTTCATCTAAGGTACTAAAAAAAAGAATTATCTATGTGAGATCAAATTGACAGCAGCAACTCAAAAGGTTTGATGGGAAGACCAAGGGGCAGTGAATTGAAGATAATGGTGATGGAATAATTTGGATAAGGATAGTGAGAATAGCAGCACAACTGGAGGAATGTAATCAATGTCACTGAATTGAACATGTAGAAACTTTTTTTGAAATGATGTAACTTTGGCTATGTATATTTTCACCAAAAAAAGGTCCTCCGAGGTAGAGAAGGAGAATGTTGACATGTCATGGGATTGTTAACCAATCTCTTAAAACAATATGTATATTGTTTAATGAGAAACTATTTGTTCTGTAAATCTTAATCTACAGTACAATAAAAAAATTTAAAAAAATAGTAAAGTGGAACCCTGTGGGTGCCCTCAGACATCTAGCAGAAGAAAATACAAATCATCACTGGAGAAACCCATAAAAAAAGTAAATTCTAGTTATATGAATGCCTGGCATCTTTTTGTCAGTATTCATTTTTGAAATTTGTCCACATTATTGCATGTCATACTTTCGATCTCGTGGACATGTTTTAAATTTCTTCATATTCAATATGAACTTGCATATGAGCAATTGATGGTCTATCCACAGTCAGCCTTTGGCCTTGTTCTGACTGATGATATTGAGTGTCTTCATTGTCTCTTTCCACAGATATAGTTAATTTGATTCCTGTGTATTCCCTCTGGCAAGGTCCATGTGTATAGTTGCTGTTTATGTTGTTGAAAAAAGGTATTTACAATGAATAAGTCATTGGTCTTGCAAAATTCTATCATGCAATCTCCAGCGTCGTTTCTATTACCAAGGCCATACTTTCCATCTACCTATCCTTCTTCTTTGTTTCCAACTTTCTCATTCCAACCACACTAATTATCAATGTATCTTGACTGCATATTTGATCAATTTCAGACTGCAGAAATCGGTAAAACTCTTCAATTTCTTCAGCTTTTGTTTTAGTGGTTCATGTGTAAATTTGAGTAATAGTCATAGTAACTGGTCTTCCTTGTAGTCATAAGGATATTATTCTATCACTGACAACGTTGTAGTTCAGGATAGATCTTGAAATCTTTTTGATGATGAACGCAATGCCGTTCCTCTTCAATTTGTCATTCCAGGCATAGTAGACCATATGCTTGTCTGATTCAAAATGGCCAATAGCAGTCCATTTCAGCCCACTAATGCCTAGGATATCAATCTTTATGCATTCCATTTCACTTTTGACAACTTCCAATTTTCCTTGATTCATACGTCATACATTCCATGTCCCAATTATTAATGTTTGTTTCCACCTGTTTCTTCTCATTTTAAGTCATGCCACATCAACAGATGAAGATCCTGAAAGCTTTCCTCCACCCACGTCATTAAGATCAACTCTGCTTTGGGGAGATAGCCATTCTTCAGTTGTATTTTGAGTGACTTCCAATCTGAGGGTCTTATCTTCTGGCAATATATCAGAAAATATTCTGCTGCTAGTCATAGGGTTTTCACTGAAACTTTTTCAGAAGTAGACAGCCAGGTCCTTCTTCCCCGTCTGTCTTAGTTTGGAGGCTCCAATGAACTCTGTCCACCAAGAGTGACCCCTGCTGATATTTGAAATACTGGTGGCATAGCATTCAGCATCACAGAAACACAAACCAACTTAGTACATCAAACTGACAGAGTATTGAAAATATATGGTAGATATTTTCTTTCCATCTCTTAATGATATCTTTTGAAGAGTATTTATTAATGTTTTTCTTTTATAGTTACTGCCTTATTTTTGAGAATCTTGACTATTCCAAAGTCACAAAGTGTTGCATTTATGTTTTCCCTACAAGTATAGTCTTAGCCTTTACATTTAGGTCTTTAATCCTTTAAAAATTTATTTTTATATTTGGTAAGAAATGATATCATAGGCATATTTTAAAAATAGGCAAATAACCAGTTGTTCCAGCACCATTTGTTTATGACACTATTCTCCTCCGATTGAATTATTGTGGTATCTTTTTAAATACAAATTGATTTTGTAAGTGTGGATTTATTTTCTAGACTTTCTTAATTCTGCTGTAGTAACCTATTTTTATGTCCTAAAACTAATACCACAATGTTGTAATTGCTGTAATTTTATAATTCCTGAAATTAAGTGATATAAGACTGACAACACTTTTTCATTTTTCCAATTTTTTGTTAATCTAGATTCTTTGCATTTGCATATAAATTTTAGAAATATCAATTTCTACAAAAATGTCTGTCAAAATTTGGTTTGGCATTGTATTGAATGTGATAAGTCATTTTTTGAGAGAACTGACATCCTAACAATATTACATCTTCCAAGCCATGGGCATGGTGTATATTCTTTTATATGTCAGTCTTCATAAATTTTTCACATTACTATTTTACAGTTTTTAGTATAAAGAGTTTGCGTACATTTCAAATATTTATTCCTAGATATTTTGGTGTGATTGTATATGCTATTATTAAATTTTAGTTTTCCAGTTTGTTATCAGTATGTAAAACTATAATTTATTTTTGTATATTAACCTTGTGACCTGCAATCTTGCTAAATTTATGTATTAATTCTAGAAGATTTTTTTACGGGTTTCTTTATACTATGCATATAATGGTTTTCTGCAGAAAGTTTTATTTCTTCCTTTTCAACTCTTTATATCTTTTATTTATCGTACCTTCAATACAATGTTGAAGAGCAGACATTTGTTTCTTTCCTGGTTTCTGATCTTAGTGGGAAGACATTCAGTCTTTCGCCATTAAATATGACGTAGGTGTTATTGATCATTTTAAGACAGTTCCTTTCTATTTTTAGTGGCTGAGAGTTGAATTTTGGATGTTGAATTTTGTCAAATGCTTTTTCTGCATGTATTGAGATGATCATATGGCTTTCTCTTTTGGTCTGTTGATATGATTGATTACCTTGATTTTGAAACATTGAGTCAACTTTGCATTTATATATTTCTGCTTTCAATTGTCAAAATTTTGTTGAGGTCTGCTATGAGTCAGAATTCACTCGACAACAATGGGTTTTGGTTTTTTGTGATATTTTCATTAGGGATATTGGTCTGCAAATTTGTTTTCTTATAGTATTTTTGTTTGTTTGTTGTTAGTGTCAAAGTTATGCTGGTCTTGTAAAACGAGAAGAGTCCTTCCCTCTTCTAGTTTCTAGAAGAGTTGGTATAAAGTTAGCATTATTTTTGCCTTATGTGTTTGATAGAGTTCACCAGTAAAACCATCTGGTCCTGAAGATTTTTTTCATGGGACAGTTTGGGTTTACAAATACGATTTAAAAAATAAGTCCAGAGCTATTCAGAGTTTCTATTTCTTCTTGAGTTGGTCTTACTAGATTTTGTTGTTCAAGGAATGTGTCTAGTTTATATAAGGTGTCCAATTTATTGGCATAATGTTATTTATAGAAACTTCTTATTGTTATTTTAATGTCTGAGCATTTGTAATGATCACATCAATACTAGTAATTTGTCATTTTTCCAATCTTTTACTTGATCCTTCTTTCTAGGCATTTGTTCATTTATAGTATTTTCAAGGAATCTAATTAAGGCTTTTTGTTGTTTTTTCTTATGTCCCTGACTTCTTTGCTTATATTTATTATTTTCTTCTTTGTACCTGCTTCAGGGTCATGTTATAATTTCTTCCTAGCTTCTTAGGGTAGAAACTTAGATCATTGATTCAGACTTTTCTTCTTTTCTAATATTAGTAATTAAAGCTACAAATTTCCCTCAAAGCACTTCTTTAGATGCATCCCACAAGAATGTCATGTTGTTTTTATTACCATTCAATTTTAAATAATACAGGTTATTAATTTTCATACTAGGCAATGATGAATAAGAGAAAAATCTCTCAGTGAGGGGACTAAAATATCTAAGACAACCTATGAAGTAATAAAGCATATTATAAAATTATAAATTTTAATTTTAAAAATGGCATGAAGATAGGGATACAGAAAGTAAAACCTGACTCAAGTCTAATAAAGGAGATCTTAGCATTCTAATAAACAGTAAGTCATGAACAAAAATTTAAGCGCCAAGTCTTTATTATCTCACTAAGATTTTTATACCTCGTCATAATTTTGTGAAAGAGAAAATGAATTTGAAAACAGTATATTTTTAGAAATAATCATTGCCACTTGAAACAAGTGGATACTCTCAAATTAGTTTTATTCCAAAGTTGGAAACTATCTTTAGGAAAGTAAAAACATAAAACATCAGAAATGTCTGGAGATTCAGCGACATGTGCACAAAAATATAAAATAAAATCAGGATTTCTGAATGCCAATCTTGTTTCCAGATACTTGTGGATTCTTGTCCAGGCTCAAGGCAAACATTTTTGTTGCTCATTTAAAGTGACAATCCCAACAAGACTTTTCAGGGCCCTTTTTATGTCCTTGTTCCTCAGGCTATAGATAAAGGGATTCAGCGTGGGTGTGACTATGGTGTACATCACTGAGGCTATTGCACTTGCCCTGGAATTCTGGGTAGTGGCAGAACTGAGGTAGACCCCAAGACCTGTACCATAAAACAAAGAAACAACTGAAAGGTGAGATCCACAAATGGAAAATGCCTTATATTTTCCCCTAGCTGATGTAATTCTCAGTATGCAAGAGACAATCTGAGAATAAGAAAATATGATGCCAGTGAGTGGAATAATGCCCATCGCCACAGTTGCAAAATACATCTCTATGATACTGAGGAGGGTGTCAGAACAGGCAAGTTGGATAACCTGACTGATTTCACAGAAGAAGTGGGGAATCTCCAAATTAGTACAGAAGGACAGCCGCAACACTGGTAAACCACGTAGCAGAGAGTCCAGAACACTCAATATCCAGGACGACAGCAGCAGCAAGCCACAGAGTCTGGGATTCATGATGACTGTGTAGTGCAGTGGGTGACAGATGGCCACAAATTGGTCATAAGCCATTATAGAAAGGAGAAAAATATCCAACTCTGCAAAAAGCATGAAAAAATATATTTGGGTGAGGCAGCCTTGATAGGTGATGGTTTTGTTATGGTTGTGGATATTCAGGAGCATCTTTGGGACAGTGGTGGAGGTGAAACATATATCTACAAAGGAAAAGTTGGCAAGGAAGAAGTACATGGGGGTGTGGAGATGGGAGCTAGTGATGGTGGCCAAGATGATGAGAAGGTTCCCAATAAAGGTGACCAAGTACATGGACAAGAACAGCCCAAGAAGAAGAGATTGCAGTTCTTCCACTTCTGAGAGTCCAAGGAGAATAAATTCTAAAGTCTTTGTGTGGTTTCCTGGTTCCATGTAGCTGGTATGACTGTCAAGAAAAAGACAAGAAGAACAATAGAAACAAATAGGCATCATCAACCAGTGCACTACTACAGATTATAAATTTTACGTAAATAAATGTAAATACAAGTATTGCATTTGACACATAAAGTAAATAAAAGCCTGTATTTGTCAATAGATCAGGTTCAGGTGAATATGCAGAGGATTAAAAATACTTTCTACCTCTGTTCCCCCTTCCAAGTTAGCAAACTAATCCCTAATCATAACCTACCTACCAAGCCAGCAGTCTACGTACATTTCTCTAAGATAGAATCTTCCAGCTCCTTGCTCCTCAGCGTATGATCCATGACTAGCAGCATCAGCCTCACCTGGAAGCTTGTTAGAAATGCAGAATCAGTAGACTGCCCCTACTGAATCAGAATCTGCATTTAACAAGTTTCCGGGTTATTAGTTTCCTAGGGATGCAAAATTACCTTGGTAATTTTCCCTAGGTAACAAAGTACCACAAACTGGGTAGGTTCAAACAACAGAAAGTTATTCTCTCACAGTTCAGGAGGCCAGAAGTTCAAAATTAAGATATCTGTAGGATTGGTTCCTTCTGAAGCCTCTTTCCTAGCTTCTGGTGGTTGCCAGCAATCCTTGAAGTTCCTTGGCTGGTAGACACATCACTCATCTCTGCCTCCATCTTCCCGTGGCTTTCTTCTCTCTGTGTCTCTGTCTTCTTCTCTTCTCATAAAGACATCAATCATTGGACTTAGAGTTAACCCTAAATCCAAAAGTGTTTCATCTCAAGATCCTTAATTAACTACATTTGCAAAGACTCTGTTTTTTAATAGGGTCACATTCTGAGGCTCAAGCTGGACATACGTTTTGGGGAGACACAATTTACTCCACTACACTAGGTGATTCATATACAGATACAGTTTGAGAAGCACAGATCTAGCTGACAGTGGGTGCCTCCAGGGATAAGAGGCCTCTCATTTTAAGTGTTTTTCCTTTTACAACCTGCTTAACTGTAATAATACATTACTCTTCCAAAAGCTGAAATTTGCCTCCTTGTGATTTTCATCATCTGCACTTAATTCTTCCTTTTTTCCTCCTTTTTTAAATTGTACTTTAGGTGACGGTCTACAGAACAAATGGTTTCTCATTAAACAGTCAGTACGCATTGTTTTATGACATTGGTTAACCACTCCATGACATGTCAACCACTTCCCTTCTTGACCTTTTTTTTTTTTTTTTGGTGAAAATATACATAGCCAAAGATACACCATTTCAAAAATTTCTACATGCACAGTTCAGTGACATCGATTACGTTCTTCCAGTTGTGCTGCTATTCTCCCTTTAGATAAAGGTTTACAGAACAAAATAGTTTCTCATTAAACGGTTAATACACATGTTTCTCTGCACTTAATTCTGATGTCTAAATTGAAAAGACACCTTTAGGATATCTGTCCAGAGGACACACCCCTCTCTAAGAATTAGGCTCTGTCTTACAAATACTATGATGGGCCTCTGCAGTCAAATTTATACTGTCAAAGACATTTGATCAGAAGAAGATTTGACAGAAGATAGCCCAGTGAGCATCTTACCCCATCGCTCTGTCCTCCCACCCATGGAATTTGGAACTGAAACTTTGAGTTTACAATTAATTAAGTGGGTCTTCGGTATTCTCGTTGTGGTGTTCATATTTTGCCAAGGGCATGGAGAATCATAGAAAAACATTTTATAGAATGAGAGGACGAAATAATTTACTTTATATATTATGCATAAAGGAGTTTGGACAAGAGACATGGTGGACATTACGGGGATATTGAGAGAAAAGCTGCCTCAGACCCTGGTAGCTTTCTACTTCCAACCAGACACTCAAAGTCCCACCCTCTGGAGGGGATGGTGAATATACTAGTTGAGAGTGGAAAGTCTGGAGTCACACTACAAAGTTTTGAAGCCAAACTCTGGGATTTATTAGCTGTGTGACCATAGAACAGTTACTTAACCTCTCTCTGCTTTTTTTTTACTTGTAAAATCGAGATCATTGTAGCACTTACAGTGTTTTTGAGAAGGATAAATGAGTTACATATGTAAATCACTTGGGACAGCGTCTACAAATAGAAGTCTTATGTAAGTATTAGATCTAAGCTTTATATATTATCTAATACTATCATTGGAACATAATCTTGATTATATGTATTTTCTTTATGCTTACCTTATGCCTTATATTGTTTCAAGAACTATAATAAAGTTGAACATAAAAATACAATATTTGTTTCTGATTTTAACAGACATGCTTCTAAATGTTTTCCAATTGGTATGATGTTGATGTAGATGTAAAATACCATATCTTCATCATGTAAAGAAAGTGTCTAGTTAATTCTAGTAAGAAGACCAGACTTAATGGTCTGACTAAGACTGGAGGCGCCCCGGAAAGCATGGCCCCTGCTCTATCCATCACCCCAGAACTAAAACAATTTCTGAGGCCAACTCTTCAGACAGGGATTGGACTGGACTGTTGTACATAAAGTGATACTTGTGAAGAATGTGCCTCTTAAACAAGTAGATATAATAGACCAAAGGGGCAGCTTCTGTCCAGAGGTGAGAGGGGAAGGCAGAGAGAGTTAGGAGCTGGTTGAATGTTCATGGGGAATCAGGGGTGGAGGGGAGGAGTGTGCTGTTGCAGAATAGGGTGGGCGGTTGGGGGGGTCTCATAACAACGTATGTTAAAAAAAAATCTGTATGGGAGACTAACTTGAAATGTAAACTTCATTTAATTACAACAATAAAAAAATGCAAAAAAAAAGAAAGTGTTTATTTAGAGAAATATATGAGAATTTTCTGTATAGACAAAGGAAGATGAAATTTATCTTACTCTAAAGAGTATATCTTGAGATTGTATTCACAACTAACAACTCAGAAGATATTTTGTCCTATAGGACTGTTAAATAGTTTTGAAGATTTTAATGACTTTCAATAGCTTTATGGTCATACAGATGTTGGTTGGATATGGGCTCCATCACTTATTAGCATAAAGTTGAGAAAAATAAAAAAATATAGGTATACACACACTTAGTATGGTGCTATGTCACTAATGAATAAAATGTTATTTTCCAGTGTTGACCTTCAATGTGATCTTTAAATGTTATGTATTTCCACATTTTCCTAACTTTTGACAATAAGCATTTGTAAAATAGAAATCAATTTCAAAAAATAAACAGGGATTTTTTTTTTACTCTACTTAATGAATTCCAGGTAGTTCAATTATTGATCATAAATACCACACAGTTGCTCAAAAAATTCAACTGATGTATTTCATGATGGGGTAAGAGAATAAAGAAAAATGTCAGACAGTAGAGAAAAGCGATAAGGGGAAAAAAGATAAGAGAAAGAGAGAATGCTGAGAGGAGAGGAGAAATAAAAGTAACAAAAAATGTGGCTTTGTTACTCCCTTTGTGTGTGACTTCATGCCCGATGACTCGTGCTTTCTATTTCCTCCTTTACTGACTATTAGAAATGATGGGGGTGACAGTGTGTTAAATAAACTCAAGATATTTTCCTATCTTCCTTTTCTGAGAACTTTATTGACCATGAGTCTTGTTATAATACCAGAGGAAATGGTGGGAAGGGAGCTGTAAAAATGATTTGGGGAAGATGTCTGCCCTCCTCTAACTTCAACAGGGGCAAAGGGAATCAAGATCAACAGTCCAAGGCTGATTCTTATGAGATGGAGGTCAGACATGCATCCTCTCTCCACCATCTTTACCAATTCTGACACCAACTGTGCCTCCCACAGCACTCTCTGCTTCTCTCTTGGGTTAGATAATTCGTTGTAATGACCACACAGAACTCACAGACAATACTTACGATTTTGGGGTTTATTAGGGAAATAACAGGTTCAGGAACACTCAAGATACAGTTCTTCCATCAGGACAGCTTCTTCCCAGCCATGTCTCAGGCATGCATCGCTGGTCCCTTGGCTTCTGCCCTGCATGGGCAAGTGTTACAAAGCTCTTTTAGCTCCAGCAGTAAGTGTCCAGAGCCACCCCACTCTGCCAGTAAGCCTCAGCCCCAAAGCACTCAGCTTTCTCACTCCGTGAGCCGGGAAGCCCACTGCGCCATCTTCTTCTGGTCTCTCTTTCAGGTCTCTCCTGCCGGTCAGTCTCTCCTGCTGCCCTTTCTGTGCCACTGATTCTCACTGTCTTCATTGTCATAGCTCTCTGTCTCCGGGGTCCAAGAGCTTCTCAGCACAGGGATCCTGGGTCCAAAGGATGTGCACTCCATTCCTGGCTGTTCTTCCTTGGTGGTGGTGATATTCTCTTTGCTCTGGAATTGGCTGTCTTTTAAGCCTAGTGGAATGGCAAAACTGACTAATCTCCTTGGTGGGCACAGTCCCACCCAATCACTTGGGTGGGAGTTACAAGACCTTGGCAAGAAAGGCCACACAAAATTGATCCATCACACTGCAGGAGCCTCAGAAATAATTATCGAAGAGAAATGATTAGAAAGTGCAGAATAAATTAAGCTAGAAACAGTAGCAAATGATAGTTTGAGGATCCAGAATTTTAAAATTCTATGACTACTGGGAGGTCAGAAATCTCCTGGGAAAAAAAGTTTAAACCCTAGAACTGTTCTTACTTCTCCAGACCAAGTGAGGATTTAAAAAAAAAAAAAAAACTACCTTCAAGATTTCAGTTAAGATGAAGCAACTCCTCCCTGCCTTGTAAAAAGACATAAATTTTAAGAATAGATTTGACAATGTTTGAGGCAAAAGGTGATAACTTAAAGATGATAGAACAGTTTGAGACAGAATTTGACAGCTTCAGATGTGGTCAGATTTGCTTTGGAATGCAATTGTCAAAGTGCACTGCATGCTGGAAGATGTTACTGCCTCTGCTTTCAGGAACCAAACAATTCTACAGCTT